TTTTTTTGTGGGGCGTCGCCAAATCGCTTGTCGTTGAGAACCTTTACTAAGGCCGCCTGACGAGCTTGCCGATCAGCGTCGTCCGAGAAGCCCGGCATCATCACCGCGCCAGGTGGAATACCCTGTTGTGTACCAGTAAGGGGGGTGACCCTGCCGTGAACCGCCTGGCGGGCCATGCCGCTCGGTGCCCGCTGTGCCGCGCCAGCAGGCGCGGTCTGGGCGACCCCATGCCCAGCAGCAGCACCACTTTCACCAGCATCCTGCAGTCTCAGAGGCAACGATTTCGCTCTAGATGGCCGGCCTGCCGCTGCTACGGCGTTGTTGTTCATGGTGTGGGTTTATCGCGTCTGCTGTGGTATGCCTCGGGCCTCTCGCCTGGTCGTGACCGGTGTGTGTACGTCGGCATCGACGCTTTCCGGGATTTTGAAAAAAAGGCGCGCCTCTGCCGATTAGAACCAATGGAAAACCCGGAACCGGTTCCGTGTTGAAAATTACGAATCGGTGAAAAAAAAAACGAATCGATAAGAATCAGCCTAACATCCAGCCCCGAAACCTGGCGGTGTTGCGAAGCGTAGTCCCGCCCCACACGAACTGTGCTAAGACGACTACCTGGGGGAACACAACAACAACAACAACAACAACAACAACAACAACAACAACAACAACAACAACAACAACAACAATACCAGCTGCTGAAGCAGCACCAGCAGCACTAGCAGCAACCATGGTACGTCCATGACTCTTTTCTTGTTCGTAGGTCTGCGAACATTGGTGTTGAATACATGTGCTGTATGATTTTGGTGTCGCGCAGATTGGCAAGATTGCCGTTTGGTAGGGGGCACCGCGATGAGTCACGGGGACCCTCCTTGGTGTAGGAGCTGCCCTTGTGGGGCACTCACTCCCTCTGTCGTCCGTGTGAAGGACGGTCGTCGACCTCTCGTGAAGTTAATACATCACCAATACAGTCTCACTCGATAAATAAGTGGCGCAGGTCGCAAACACTCTAGAGTTTGCCCCTCGAGGGAAGCCACATCGGGATGAGCTCTGCTGGAGACGAAGAGCGCACTGCTGCGAGCGGAGAACAGATCCACCCGCCGGTGCAGGAGGGCCGCGATGCGAAGCTTGCAAGTTTGCAACTGCAGATTTCGCATTTGGCGGCCCTGGTGGAGGAGTCGGTGAAGAAGGAGCCTGGCAGCGTCGTGGTGGATGCAGCCAGTAGGGGCGGCTGGGTTGCTGCCCCCGAAAGCCGAGAGCCCACGCTGCCGCTCGGCGGTGGCGGGGGATTTCTCCAGCAGCAAGCGAGAGATGGGGGGCAAGGACCACGACAGCTGCTGGAAGGCGGCTGGGCCAGCAGATCGGGAGCGAATCCTGCGAGACCAGCCGGAGTAGGCCCGGGCATGGGACCAGACTACGGGGAAGCGAGGGGGTTAAACCCCCCAGGTGAGATACCCGTGATTCGAGGAAATGGAGAACACCTCGACGGCTACAGCAATAGCCACCAGAAAAGAGTGACGGTAAATGCCCCGGTTCTAGACGGAAAAAGCCGCAGCCACGGATTTGATTCGTGGCCAAAATCGTTCATCCAAGCTGGGAAGACCATCGACTTGGACGGGCAGTTTATAGGAGATGCAGAGAGCAGTANAGGCCCGGGCATGGGACCAGACTACGGGGAAGCGAGGGGGTTAAACCCCCCAGGTGAGATACCCGTGATTCGAGGAAATGGAGAATACCTCGACGGCTACAGCAGTAGCCACCAGAAAAGGGTAACGGTCAATGCCCCGCTTCTAGACGGAAAAAGCCGTAGCCACGGGTTTGACTCGTGGCGAAAATCATTCATCCAAGCTGCGAAGACCATCGACTTGGACGGGCTGTTTATAGGAGATGCAGAGAGCAGTATCCCCGTGGGCGACCCAAACTNAAGGGCTTCAGGCATTCCATTTTACCACTACTGCTGTGGTAAAAGAAGCCGACAAAGCAATCATCAGTAACTGTACGTCAGCGAAAGAGGCCCTCGCGGAATTGAAAAAAGTCTACGATCCGGAGTCACAGGGGTCAAAACAGGCCTTGATGCGGAAGATGTTCGACTTTGCAATCCCCACACACAGCAACAGCAACCCCATCGAGCACCTCTACTCACTCGAGCTGCTGTATGCCCGCCTGCGCGAAAAGGGGCTCAATGCTGAACAACCCTTCGTTCTGGCCCACTTCGTTGGTTCCGTCCCACCCGAGTATCAACAAGCGAAGTTTCTGTTGGAGAAAGCAACGGCGCTGGATAGGGCCGAGATCGTCAGGATCGTGAGCACG